TTACATTTCATAAGTCAAGTCAAAATGATATCTATCCTGATCTATAAAAATTATTAATATGAGACATATACACATATGTAAATCTTGCAAATAGATAAAGATAGACATGTCCTTTATACTTAACCTACTAAAAGCGTTTTCGAAAATGCTATAAATCTAGTTCGGGTTAATCATTATAAATGGCTACAATTACCACTTCTATCGGGAAGAGTTGAGAGACCGATACGTGTCATTGTGCTTTGATCGCATTGTTCTCCTGCGGTAATACTCATCTCATCGAGAGTAAGCATGCAATCTCTTTCTTGATCTTCGGTGAAGTGTGATACTCGTTCTCTTAAAATGTCAAACATTTCGTCACCAACGCCAGGTTCAAAATCAATTCCTTCCAGTCTTCTTCTGAGGGTTCGTTTTGAAGGTAAAGGAATATTCTGTTTCAATATCTCGTTGTAGTCGCTACTGCCACAAGATAATTTCAATGTAAGGGCTTTTCGGATAGTATCATTAGACCATCTGTCAACTCGTCCACGTGGCCTACAGACAGTCTCAATTTGATCGTCATTAAACACTTGTTCCAAGTTCTTGCTTTGTTTCAAATGACACATTTCTTTTATTAATTTCTCTTTTTCACATGTCAGCCGTCTAACACGTTTTAACAACATTTCCTTTGATTTCATAAGTTTATTAATTATCTTGTTCGCTCGAAGAAGCTTCAATTTTGCTGTTCTTGATTCTGACATAGCTTTCTGAATTTTTCTATCAGCTTCTTCCACGTCAACTTTTTCAACGTCAACTGTGTTTAATGGCACGGGTATAACTGCTTGTGAAATGGGTGTTGACATTATCGAGACTGAATTTTCTGTTTCTTCATTATGGATGTTTCTTGTCAATTCGGTAAATGATTCGGCAATATTAATAGTTGATTCTATTTCTTCTATATCCTTTGCTAACACATTATCTGACATATCTTCATAATTTGTTTTGTCTTCTAAGTTGTTTACTGTTTCAGTGTTGATATCCATCTGTAATGGATATATAACACTATATTATTATTAATTATAAATATATTGGCATGTAAATTCTTAAAAGCAGATATACACATATATTTTTATTGCAATAAAACTGCAGTAAAAACTTACATTTAAACATGTTTCAGCAACGTTTGTACTTTTACCCGGCAAACACATCGTTGGAATTGCGTTATATTTTAGTTTCTTTTTCCCGTCAACCCGTGGGCGTTCCCACATTTCGGGTGCAAAGTGTACCTGTTGCATATAAGTAATATTAATTGCGATTGTAAATGTTGCAAAAGCTGTTTGCATAAAGCTTACCTGGCATACAAAATAAAGTTTTGAAGGGTCCAAATCGGACCTACCAATATTATTCGCCCATTCGTTTCTTCTTTTAACGTCCGTTGGAATGCGAGACATATAATAATGTTTTTTTGATGAATTATTGCACTTTGAAATGCAACAAGAAGGCATCGTGTGTACAGTGTGTACCCTATAAATAACCTAAATAACTTTCGTCCTCGTGCACTGAAAGTGAAAATTGCAGAGTGCACGCACTCAAACATTTACCCCCACCACTTATAGACGCCATTTTGTGGGATCTTGGCCAGACTCTGTATTTAGGGACACTAGACCCGTCTAGGCCACCCCCACCTGGCGCCGGAGGTTGAGTGGAGGGGGTTTGTTTTGACGGCACATAGCTGCCCACTTACTACTTCTGACATTAAATTCTCGATGTAGGGAAGCTCACCATGATGGGATAATTTTACTTTATATATGTTAATGTGTGTTTGCTCTGAGGAAGGCTCAAAAATGAGTCGAAACATGTAAGCGCGTTTAGTGAATAAAGAAGTTTC